TTTTCTTCGATTGCAACTATTGGGTAACGTCAGTGGATCTAGTTATCGGACGATTGCTAGATTTCTTCTAGTTGCAGCTATCGATTTATCGCCCGATAATCGATCAGTTTGTCTATTGCTAGATACGCATGCAGACACATCTAGTTAAAAGTCCCTTTTCCAACTAGTAATCTAGATGGCATCTAGTCGTGTATCGCCCGATTATAGACTAAATGTGTCTAGATTTTTCCCACAGGTGATGTTTGCTTGGGTGAGATCAGTTTAAAAAATATTCATTCCACACAGCAGTTAGATTTGCTCTGTGATTACAAAATAGTTGCAATGGAGTAAAAATCTAGTAATCTAGATGATCTGACCAATATAGATTTTTTTTAAACGTACTAGAACGTTTGAGAGTCACATAGTTCTCTGCGTTTATTGTGACTATAGAAGCAACCCAAATCCACTCTCGTGACTCATTCGCGACGCGATCGCGCTACCACTACCGCGATCGCTATGATATCCCGCACGTCGCGGCTCGGTCGCGATAAAATTCTGTATTCGCGTCGCGATCGCGCTTTATTCTTAAACTCGCGGCGTGATCTTGATCATATTTTCTTAAAGTGGTGTGCAGGCTAATTGAAATCTTTTTGTTTAACTATTTTTGATATCAAAACGAGGCGCTCTTTTTCTCAAAATATATGACCTTCTACTATGTGCAGCTTCGTTAAGTATTTTAACTTCGCCAGGTCTCAAAATAAAAATGCACTAAACTGAGAAATGCATCAGAGTTTGATGTCGTCGTAATCGTGAGTATCCTCGGTGTAAGATCGCTTTGTCGTTGCTGACTTTCATGAAGTAGTGAGTACCAATGTGGTTCTGTTTGACGCACAGAGGATAAGGGCTCAGTCATTGCACCTCATTCATAGGATGCCCGATTGGCTCTAGCAATGTACTGATATTAGCGTCTAGCATCTACGGATAAACATTCTCAAATTATCATATTCACTAGCATTATCACAGCTCGCTGTTAACTTCTTACAAATAGAGTGAAGAAGATAGTTCAACATCTCGACAGAAATATGCAGGCAGGATTTAAACGAGAGACTACATCTTCAAAATTGCTGTTTACCGACTTAAGTGCATCAAGTTCTCGAAGAAAAAACCGAGTAAAACAAGGTGCATAATGCCTACGTTTAGATGTTTTTAGCAACTCTATGCTTCCATTTGACTTCAGTCAGTTAGCAGGGCTTATCTTCTTGAGCGCATGACTCAATCTGTTTTCCTCCCTGAGTGAATATTATTTCGAGAGAATTAACTGTCCTTTCAAATAAACAAAACGTTTCTGAATTCAATAGAAACTCAATATAGCGCGAATTATTACTGAAACGTCCGAAATAATATTCACTCACGGAGAAAAATAGACTGAGTCGTACGCTCAAGAAGACAAGTCCTGCTAACTAGCTAGAATCAAATACCTGGCGACGCGAAAATGGAATAACGCGACAATGCGTTATTCGCGATGGGAGTCCCAGTGCCCCAATAGCAGTTTATGCGCAATCGCGATATGACTTAGCGAGAACTAGAAAGTCATGGCGTGATATCGCGAGAACAGCAGGATCGTGGTACCACATCGCGACTTCTTTAGGACGATAACAGAAGAATAGCGAATAAATCGCGAGCGCGGCATGACAGTCGCGCATTCAGCGCTTTTATTCTTAGACCACGACAAAACCGCGATCATAAAACAAGACTCTTATTTCGCGATCATAACCGTGATCGCGTTACGCGTACTTGCCGCGACTTCTTATAGCGAATCGCGGCGCGACAAAAGCAAGATAGTTGATCTGGGTAAACGACAGGAAAGCCATACCGCAAATCCCATGTTTTCCATAAAAATACTCTCTTGCTGTTGTTCTCCAGCAATTCTCTTCTTTTATTTAGGAAAACTATCTCTCGTTCAATCTCTATCGTTTCTTACTTTTCTTTTCATTTCCTTTTAAAAATGGAATATTTATATCTCACAAGCCATCCAGTGAAAGAGGTCGATACTGACTGGATGACCATATAAGTACTTTCATATTCACATAAGATGTGAAGACACAGGGATCACACTTACTCTTACATTTGCACGCGATGCATAAGTTTATCTTTCTCTTCTCGCACGCGTGGCTTCGCTTCATTACCTTTTCATTGTGGGGTTTCTTTTCTTCAGTTTTCATCTATACCAACCGACGCTGCGCTTAATCATGAAACTTTCAGAAATTACGTTTGAAATAGCTCTACAAAGGACATCGATTTTTCTGCCTGTTAATGAAAAGAGTTAATAGTGATTTATAGCGTACTTCAAATGATACCAGGAACACGTAAGGTAAGAAACAATATTATGTAGACTGATTATAATCTGTTAGATGTTTAACTTTAACTGGCACGCGTGAGCATAGTTGGGGATCTCCCTAAGCGTTTTTCACTATGCTTCACGGCGTTTTTCATTCAACCATTAGACTTAAAAAGTTTTCTAAAAAGAAATATCAGTTATTAGTTGTTTGCTACTTGCAAAAAACCCTTATTCGAAACAAGATACATATTCTATTCATCCTATCGGTTACAAACATCTTTTGTAGACTCTGGACAGTTTGCATACATATCTCTCAGTATCATAAGCATCATTAGCATAAACCTCTTGTCCGATTTTCGTGGGAATAATAAGATTTCTTGTGAAATGGAATTCTAAAGAAATTGAATGAAATTGTTGGCTTAAGTATTATTCAGGGCTTCGCTGCAAAGTATATTTTTCTTAAAGGGATTTGTAAAGTATCGTTTGTCTGACGAAGTGAATATCTCAAAAGTCAAATCACTTTTATCGTGAAACATATCGTTTTATATGTCATCGAATCTGAACTCGATTTGTGCCCATGGTGAGTTTTTTGACTGTCGGGTCTTCAGCGACCCCAGTCGGAAACGGAATAAAATTTTTTTGAATGAGCTATTTTGTAGAGCGTCAAAAACTGGGTATATCCTGTATTAACTTTTAAACTAACTAACTATTAAAGCTCACGATGGGCACAAAGTGAAGAATCGAGTTCGGATTCGATGACATATAAAACCATACGTTTCCCGACAGAAGCTGTTTGGCACTGGAGATACCTCCCTCATTAGAGAATTTTTATTTTTGTCTGATTATATACGCATCTGGTCTTTTCCATTTCATGCTATCAATTATATGGTTACCGAACAATCATGTGACATTTCTAAATGGATCACGCATAAAAGAATGCTTAAGAAAAGATAGAGAACATGCGATAAATCTTAAACATGAAACGTCTTTAACACGTATACATGTGGTTCGATAAGCGAAAGGAAGGTTGACAGGAATTAGTTTGCTAATTATTTTAGAATAAAAGCCCTGACTTCGATTGAGATCATACAGATTCTAACAGTGATTAAAAGTCAATAATAGCTATGGCATCGATTCTTTTGTGTGCTTAGAGACCAGCCAAGGAACTTCCTCTAGTCAAAATATTATCTTTAATCTTTTTCTGCGTGTCACTATTGACCGTATTCCTTTTGCTTCATTATCGTGTGCGTCTATTATCGTTTCGAAAAATATTAACGATAAAACGCAGCTATTCATCAACGTTATCGAAGAAAGAGTCTCGAATCAATTGTACAACGAGAGGTCAGAAATGGATAATAGTCACAACCATATTCTATCCAACAGATGCCATACGCAAATTTTTGTCATTAAAATCCGAATGGAAACTAATGGTAATCGGTGATCGCAAAACACCGAAAGATTGGTTAGAACATATAGCTGAACCGGATCGTCATAATGTCATTTTTCTAACTATTGATGAACAGAAAAAGTTCAGTTATCGAATTATCAATTATTTACCGGAGGGTTCATATGCCCGAAAAAATATTGGCTATCTGACATCTATTGAATGCGGAGCGAAGATAATATACGAATCGGACGATGATAATTTATTGATTACAGATGATATTAAAGTATTGCCAAAACGAAGTACATTAATGCATGTCCCGTCGTTTGCGTTTCATCGTAAACGCTCATCATTTGTTAATATTTATGGAACATTTGGTCATCCGAAAATCTGGCCACGCGGATTTCCACTGGACGAATTGAAAACCGTTACTGAAGACGGATGGAGTTCGACGCGTGGAACTCGCCCGGATGATAAAATCAATGCATACATTCAGCAATATCTCGCCGATTTAGATCCAGATGTGGATGCCATATACCGGCTCGCGAATCCTATGACGCTCGGTCACATTCGTTTCATTCGTGAACAAAAACCCGTTGCGCTTGAACCGTTCACATTTTCGCCGTACAACACCCAGAACACAATAACACATTATGAAGCATTTTGGGGTCTTTATCTACCGGTGACAACCACATTTCGTGTTTGCGATATTTGGCGAGGATTCTGGGTGCAACGAATTTTATGGGACATTGGTGGTCATTTAGTGTTTGGAAGCAGCACAGTTGACCAAAAACGGAATGCTCATAGCTACATAAAAGACATGGACGATGAACAACAATTGTACCATCAAAGTGGACAATTTGTTCGTTTTCTCATTGAATGGAGATCACCGGCCAAGTCACTGTTTCAGAGGATATCTCAGCTGGCATCGGATATTGCAACAAACAGTTTTTGGAATCAGAAGGAGGTTGACATACTGAATGCTTGGTTAGATGATCTAATTCAAATTGGTTATCAGCCACCCTCTCCCACCATTATTGATAAAAAAAATGCTACCCAAATTAGACGCGCTGCTTTATGCGTAACAGGGCCTACGAAGTATATTAATGACAATTGGAGAAACACTGAAGCAGATATTAAACGTAGAGTAAATGGCGTCACTGATGTGTTTCTCTTCCTTTCATCGACAAATGAGACTGCACAACTTGATAAATTACTGACATATAATGCCACGGTAAAAGTATTGTACGAAGATAGACAGTTAGATTATTTGTCTCGGTGTAAATCAAAAGGATCGTCGTCTTTAGCAGATCCTCAAAAAATATGGTCAAAACGAGAATGCTTTGAACTAATCAAAGAATATGAGCAAAACGTAAAAGTTAAATATCAGTTGATGATTCATGTCCAATCAAACACAAAATTTCGTCAACTGCCAGAAACGTTTGAAAGGAAAGAAAAGTTAGATATTAATAAAACCGTAGTCATCCCGGTCGAAGATAATAACGGTAGCTTCGCCATTGGTCCCAGTGAGATGATGGCGTATCACATGGTCCACAGACTGTCCCTTATTCAGTGTAACATAAACGACACTGCGTTCAGGCATATGTTAAAATACGCAATTAATCTAAATACCAGTTATTCGTTAGACGACAAAATTATATTGGAAAAATAACAGAATAAGATGAGGGTTGACTAGAGTCCGAACGGCATTAGTTTAGTTTGCGAAACATGACGTTTTCTTCTGGCCATTACAGTATGCAAATGTAACGTCAGATAAAAAAGTCCAAAAATTTCGTTATCAACGTACCTCGTCGAATTTAATAAATATTTGTGTTTTACGATGAGGGTATGCCAGATCGAACTGCTAGATTTCAATCCAGATAAATGAACAGTAATACTACCGCTAGTCCACGTCACAAGATAAAATGTTATAACTTAAAACATTTTATTTACGACTCTTATGATCAAAGACTTTTAAAGCGCCACAGACTAATTCTGCTTTGTCTATGTCAATGACTAAGTTTTTCTGACGTGGAAGAGTAGCAAATTGATCAATGCTGGCTGACAGCTCGTTCCGGTTAGTTTGTCAGTGTTAATGGAAATAGTTTTTTACTGGATTTTTTTGTATATTGACTGACTAGTTTTCAGATCATGTGATTTGTACTGCAGGGACAAGCATTTTTATCAAAAATTGTCGTGCAAGTAGAATGAAAAGTTTGTTGATCTGGCCAAGTAAGGGGAATATTTCTGAAATTAAAGATGCAGCGAGCTCATAAAGCATAAAATTGTCTAGCATATTTTAAAATTCTGTTCAGAGGAAGACATTAACATCCGAAAATTACATGTCCGAGCTAATATGAAGACTGACTCGGTATGCATCGGTACTAGTATACCAAATACCGAAAATATCGACTGTTTTGGATTTTTTCATTTGAAATGGGATATTTTAGCATTCTGGACAGACAGAACGTAGTTTGTAGGAAATTATTTGTTGTACAAGATGTGATAGCTTGTTAAGTTCGAAACTATTCAAATTAATCTGTATTAATCAAAGAAAAATCAGAAAAACCGTCACGGTGTACACGTGTCACACGTGTACACCGTGAGTACACCGTGACGGTTTTTCTGATTTTTCTTTGATTAATACAGATTAATTTGAATAGTTTCGAACTTAACAAGCTATCACGTCTTGTAGAACAAATAATTTTCTACAAATTGGTATACTTGTTGAATTTTCGCCTGCTCGTCTTCAGTCTTTTAGACACGTTTTTCAGATAGCTCCAAAATCTATTATTGGGGCTGTTTGTGCGACAGCTGTATTTTCATAACTAATCAACATTCAGAGCCAAGACATTTTTCATTTTGTAGAGAAATGTTTAATGTACTTAATCATGTAGTTGCAATTTTAGATTAGTTTGTAGCTTTACTGCAATAATGTTTTGAAAAAGAGCGAAAAAACAATGCCGTTAGGTGGACAAGCCGGCAGATAGGAAGAAAGCAAAAGAAAAGAACAAGAAAAGAAGAAAAAAAGAAGAATTTGGACTTTATGAAGCAAAAAAGCTCTAGTACTGCGTCCCCAGCTCTTTCTGGGTGTCCAGGATGCTAAAATATGTCTCATTTCAATGAAAAAATCCCAAAAAGTTGAATCAGAAAAAGGTCAGTATTTTCGGTATCGGTATTGATACCGATACGGAGGCATATCTAAGACTGACAAAGCAGAGAAGAAGTTCTGAAAACATATCCAGCCCCAGTCTGGTAGCTTTTAGAAATGCGATGCACTATTCTGTAACGAGATAATTATGATGCAGAACGGAACATCGCTTTTCAGTCTCCTTTCCGCACCGAAACTGCTACGTGTTTAAGAATCCACCGAAAACGTTCCCGGATTCGGAGACCAGTGCCATTCAGTCTAGGCTGTGGAAATATGCTGTACCTAGTCTAATTAAAAATGACTATTGACGACACGCGAATTTTCGGAAAAGAGTTTTTTTGGTCAAATTAATACTAATGCTGTGTGTGAATTTTAAAAACAGTTGGTTGATAGGGTTTTTCAAACCTTACATTTTGTACCCTAAATTCAGAAAATTCTATTTTTTTAGAAATAAATTTCCTTTCTGGCCTATGATAGAAAAATAAGCATTTTTTACAGTTAGAAAAGAATTTTTTAGGGCATATGGTATTTTTCGATTCTCTTACCTTGATGTTTTTTGTCCGTAGAAGTTTTAATTCTTTTATTTTTGTAGCTCGAACCTTGCTCTATCTAATGAGAAAGGACGTACGTTATTAGAACATCCGAAATCAACAGAAATATCGCTCGAATAGTTAGTTGTACGAAGACTTATGCACAGGAGGTTATTATTCATTATACAGACCAATTTCTGTGGACAAGAAAATGTGTATATAAAGATCTAAAATCAATGATATAACTTAACGTCTATTATTCCAGATAGTTAATTCAAAAGAGTTTCTCAATGTATTTTTCTAGATTTATCTATTCAAACACTTTTTTGGTAATATTAATAATAGTTGTTGTTTATACTATTTTTTATGACAAAATATTCATCTCTGATGTATCAAAACAGTCTCTTTTATCTGTCAAAGGTCGTCTAAGATGTATAATTTATAACAGAGTACCGAAATGTGGAAGTCGGACTCTGACCACACTGTTTATAGATCAAAGTAGAAGACATAATTTTACGGTTGTCGATAGTAAATCACGATGGCGAAGATATCAACTTGATAGTTACGAAAATATACAGTGTTTAAAACAAATAAACAGTTTCAAAACCAATACAGTATTTGTCAGTCATATTTATTTCATCCCATTTAACAAAGATACTCAACCCATATACATAAACTTAATACGTGATCCAACGTCTCGAACTATATCCGATTACTACTTTTCACGCTATAAATGCCTACATAAGAAACAATGTCCAGATGGTTTTGATCCGCGGTTTGTTAATCGTACAATTGACGATTGTTTAGCAGAAAGCTTAACAAATCCATATACTTGTATATCAATGAAGAATGGAGTTTCACCACTCACTGGTTTTCTCTGTGGTCAACACTCGTATTGTTCTAGCATCAATAGCTATCGAGGATTGAGAAAAGCGAAGTATAATATTGAAAAATATTACACAAGCGTTGGACTAATAGAAAATTTAGAAGAATTTCTCTATGTATTGCATCGTCTGGTTCCACAATATTTTTTCAACATTCACCACCTCTACGAAAGTAAACGACATCCACGCAAAAATACCCTACCATCTGTATATCAATACCGAAAACCAAATGAAACGACAATAGAAAAACTTAAATTGCTATTGAAATACGAATATGAACTCTATTCTTTTGTTGCAAAACGATTTTACGATCAATATCAACAGTTACTTAAAACTGAAGTCAATTCATCTACTCTATCTATTAAAACGTTTGCAAAGACTCATTACGACCCTCCAAACTAGAAATATATTTGTGATGATAAGAGAACAAAATAATAAACTACCGATTCTAATTTTTAAAAGTAACGGAATACTCTTTTTTTGGAAACATTTTTCATTGTTTAGTCTAACAATGAAAGTAGATGAATAGCCGTGAATTCTACAACCGTTGAAAATGCATAACGAAGAGGTTGTAATTGGTGAAGATGTAAGGAGCACAATATATTTTATAAGTTAGTGAACTCCAGCAAACTACATATATATTCCCAAAATATTATATAATTGGTCATGACATGTTATTTTTGTAATGTTAACAAGAAGTAAATGATGAGTCATTACGTCATTACCACGATTTGAACACAGCATTTCACAATACAACACTTTCTAAGTATCATTCTCAGCTGATATATGAAATCGAGTTTTGTCTTCACGATTTCGTAAATCATTCGCGTCATTCTTTCAAGCT